TCACTTCTGCTCCAGTATACAAGGTCTGGAAGTATACCTCACTTCTGCTCCAGTATACAAAGTCCTGGTAGTATAACCTCACTTCTGCTCCAGTATACAAGGTCTGGAAGTATACCTCACTTCTGCTCCAGTATACAAAGTCTGGTAGTATACCTCACTTCTGCTCCAGTATACAAGGTCTGGAAGTATACCTCACTTCTGCTCCAGTATACAAGGTCTGGAAGTATACCTCACTTCTGCTCCAGTATACAAGGTCTGGAAGTATACCTCACTTCTGCTCCAGTATACAAAGTCGGGTAGAAATACCTCACTTCTGCTCCAGTGTACAAGGTCTGGAAGTATACCTCATTCTGCTCCAGTATACAAGGTCTGGAAGTATCCCTCACTTCTTCTCCAGTATAACAAGGTCTGGAAGTATACCTCACTTCTGCTCCAGTATACAAGGTCTGGAAGTATACCTCACTTCTGCTCCAGTATACAAGGTCTGGAAGTATACCTCACTTCTGCTCCATATACAAGGTCTGGAAGTATAACCTCACTTCTGCTCCAGTATACAAGGTCTGGAAGTAACCTCACTTCTGCTCCAGTATACAAGGTCTGGAAGTATAACCTCACTTCTGCTCCAGTATACAAGGTCTGGAAGTATACCTCACTTCTGCCCATATACAAGGTCTGGAAGTATACCTCACTTCTGCTCCAGTATACAAGGTCTGGAAGTATACCTCACTTCTGCTCCAGTATACAAGGTCTGGAAGTATACCTCACTTCTGCTCCAGTATACAAAGTCTGGTAGTATACCTCACTTCTGCTCCAGTATACAAGGTCTGGAAGTATACCTCACTTCTGCTCCAGTATACAAGGTCTGGAAGTATACCTCACTTCTCTCCCAGTATAAAAAGTCTGGTAGTATACCTCACTTCTGCTCCAGTAACAAGTCTGGAAGTATACCTCACTTCTGCTCCAGTATAAAAGGGTCTGGAAGTATACCTCACTTCTGCTCCAGTATACAAGGTCTGGAAGTATACCTCACTTCTGCTCCAGTATACAAAGTCTGGTAGTATACCTCACTTCTGCTCCAGTATACAAGGTCTGGAAGTATACCTCACTTCTGCTCCAGTATACAAGGTCTGGAAGTATACCTCACTTCTGCTCCAGTATACAAGGTCTGGAAGTATACCTCACTTCTGCTCCAGTATACAAGGTCTGGAAGTATACCTCACTTCTGCTCCAGTATACAAGGTCTGGAAGTATACCTCACTTCTGCTCCAGTATACAAGGTCTGGAAGTATACCTCACTTCTGCTCCAGTATACAAGGTCTGGAAGTATACCTCACTTCTGCTCCATATACAAGGTCTGGAAGTATACCTCACTTCTGCTCCAGTATACAAGGTCTGGAAGTATACCTCACTTCTGCTCCAGTATAAAAGGGTCTGGAAGTATACCTCACTTCTGCTCCAGTAAACAAGGTCTGGAAGTATACCTCACTTCCTGCTCCAGTATACAAGGTCTGGAAGTATACCTCACTTCTGCTCCAGTATACAAGTCTGGAAGTATACCTCACTTCTGCTCCAGTATACAAGGTCTGGGAAGTATACCTCACTTCTGCTCCAGTATACAAAGGTCTGGTAGTATACCTCACTTCTGCTCCAGTATACAAGGTCTGGAAGTATACCTCACTTCTGCTCCAGTAAAACAAGGTCTGAAGTATACCTCACTTCTGCTCCAGTATACAAGGTCTGGAAGTATACCTCACTTCTGCTCCAGTAAAACAAGGTCTGGAAGTATACCTCACTTCTGCTCCAGTATACAAGGTCTGGAAGTATACCTCACTTCTGCTCCAGTATACAAGGTCTGGAAGTATACCTCACTTCTGCTCCAGTATACAAGGTCTGGGAAGTAAAACCTCACTTCTGCTCCAGTATACAAGGTCTGGAAGTATACCTCACTCCTGCTCCAGTATACAAAGTCTGGAAGTATACCTCACTTCTGCTCCAGTATACAAGGTCTGGAAGTATACCTCACTTCTGCTCCAGTATACAAGGTCTGGAAGTATACCTCACTTCTGCTCCAGTATACAAAGTCTGGAAGTATACCTCACTTCTGCTCCAGTATACAAGGTCTGGAAGTATACCTCACTTCTGCTCCAGTATACAAAGTCTGGTAGTATACCTCACTTTTGCTCCAGTATACAAAGTCTGGTAGTAAAACCTCACTTCTGCTTCCAGTATACAAGGTCTGGAAGTATACCTCACTTCTGCTCCAGTATACAAAGTCTGGTAGTATACCTCACTTCTGCTCCAGTATACAAAGTCTGGTAGTATACCTCACTTCTGCTCCAGTATACAAAGTCTGGTAGTATACCTCACTTCTGCTCCAGTATACAAAGTCTGGTAGTATACCTCACTTCGCTCCAGTATACAAAGTCTGGTAGTATACCTCACTTCTGCTCCAGTATACAAAGTCTGGTAGTATACCTCACTTCTGCTCCAGTATACAAGGTCTGGAAGTATACCTCACTTCTGCTCCAGTATACAAAGTCTGGTAGTATACCTCACTTCTGCTCCAGTATACAAGGTCTGGAAGTATACCTCACTTCTGCTCCGGTAAACAAGGTCTGGAAGTATACCTCACTTCTGCTCCAGTATACAAGGTCTGGAAGTATACCTCACTCTGCTCCAGTATACAAGGTCTGGAATATACCTCACTTCTGCTCCAGTATACAGGTCTGGAAGTATACCTCACTTCTGCTCCAGTATACAAGGTCTGGAAGTATACCTCACTTCTGCTCCAGTATACAAGTCTGGAAGTATACCTCACTTCTGCTCCCAGTATACAAGTCTGGAAGTATACCTCACTTCTGCTCCAGTATACAAGGTCTGGAGTATACCTCACTTCTGCTCCAGTATACAAAGTCTGGTATATACCTCACTTCTGCTCCATATACAAGGTCGGGAAAGTATACCTCACTTCTGCTCCGTATACAAGGTCTGGAAGTATGCCTCACTTCTGCTCCATTATACAAGGTCTGGAAGTATACCTCACTTCTGCTCCAGTATACAAGGTCTGGAAGTATACCTCACTTCTGCTCCAGTATACAAGGTCTGGAAGTATACCTCACTTCTGCTCCAGTATACAAGGTCTGGAAGTATACCTCACTTCTGCTCCGGTAAACAAGGTCTGGAAGTATACCTCACTTCTGCTCCAGTATACAAGGTCTGGAAGTATACCTCACTTCTGCTCCAGTATACAAGGTCTGGAAGTACACCTCTCTTCTGCTCCAGTATACAAGGTCTGGAAGTATACCTCACTTCTGCTCCAGTATACAAGGTCTGGTAGTATACCTCACTTCTGCTCCAGTATACAAGGTCTGGTAGTATACCTCACTTCTGCTCCAGTATACAAGGTCTGGAAGTACAACCTCACTTCTGCTCCAGATACAAGGTCTGGTAGTATACCTCACTTCTGCTCCAGTATACAAGGTCTGGAAGTATACCTCACTTCTGCTCCAGTATACAAGGTCTGGAAGTACACCTCACTTCTGCTCCAGTATACAAGGTCTGGAAGTATACCTCACTTCTGCTCCAGTATACAAGGTCTGGAAGTATACCTCTGCTTAAGATAAACAATTGGTTATAATCATAATTATAAGTTTTGAATGGTTGGACCGGCAAGCCAGCGGAAGGCCTCAATCAGCTGACCAAAAGCTCCAGCTGTGGGTCATCATATGACAGACTCGCGTCAGGAAACACTTGTCCTGTTTCCTAACAAGACTAATACCTAAATATCTACCTCTGCTTAAGGCTAAGGGACTGAGTACCTCCTGTCAAGGCTGATCACCCCCCAACAACTCATTGCTTTATACGCCAGTATTCGACTGAAGAACTGTGCTGCCCAGGCGAAACCTTAGGCATAAAAATTACGCAAGTGTTTCACATGTGACTTATTAATTGTTACTACTGAACACCATCAGTATGATTCTTGTCAGAAATACCAGCTCACTGGAGCATGGGACCACCATCCAGCATGACCCACTAGTGGTCCACGTACACTTGTGACGCCACCTTCAACTACTACACGTCACTATTGCTCTAGTATATAAGTTTGAGACGCATGCCTCTGCCTTAAAGTGAAGGACTGACCACCACCTGTCATGGCTGAGGAATCGATGTCCTCAGTTATTTTTCCTTTTAATGTCTCCAGTGTTATCATTTGTATCGAAGTAAAGATGATCGCTATGCTGGTAAAACGAGAAAAGATACGTAGGTGTTGTACATGTGTCTCGTTCATTAAGTTGTCCGTCTTGCTTGCAATAATAATCATAATAAAGTTGGTAGAATTACCTACAATTTGTAAAGCAAAAGGACACAAGTGCAACTAATGTGACATTTTATTGTGGCAACGTTTCGCTCTCCAGGAGCTTTATCTCCCGGCTTGATAAAGCTCCTGGAGAGCGAAACGTTGCCACAATAAAATGTCACATTAGTTGCACTTGTGTCCTTTTACTTTACAAATAATAATCATAATTTATTATTAATTTTATTACTATAATTATTATTCTTAGTTTTATTACTATCATAATAATAATAATAATTATATAATAAATTATTATTATTAAAAAACAAAACGTTTTCTTAGATTAAAAGTCGATATCGTCAAAAAAAAAAAAAATAGATGGTAATTCACAACAGTTTTAACTGGAAAAAAAAATTATTCGGAGAAATGGACACAAATACGTCCACTTAAGACAACATTATTGGAGACATTTTGGCCCATAGGTCTCCATCATTACAAAGTTATGTATTATTAGTTACTGACGTCCAGAGGCCGAAACGTCTTGATCTAAGTGAATGTGTCCGCTTAACCCAAGTTGTCGGCAGTTATTTGTCTTCCTAATACGAAGAATAAATCCGCAATCACAATATATATATATATATATAACACCTATATTGATGACTGCTTCTGAAGACTGGGTGAAAATAAATGCAAAATAAATAATTACCTTCAGGTATTTCAACATAGTAGACGTCATCGATCTGGAAGAAGAAAAAATGCATAAACAACGAAGGTAATGTAATATGTTTAGTTGCAACACCATTATCTACCATAATAACTAATATGGAATGAGTTACAAATTCCAGAAAAGTGTTAAATGTTTAGAAGTTACCATGTTATAAGTTTTGAGTTTAAGGCAACTGGAAGGTACTAGGAGTGTTGGATCACCCAGTACACTGACTCTGGCCGGAGTGTTGGATCACCCAGTACGCTGACTCTGGCCGGACTGTTGGATCACCCAGTACACTGACTCTGGCCGGAGTGTTGTGATAAACCCATTTACACTGACTCTGGCCGGAGTGTTGGATCACCCAGTACACTGACTCTGGCCGGAGTGTTGGATCACCCAGTACGCTGACTCTGGCCGGAGTGTTGGATCACCCAGTACGCTGACTCTGGCCAGACTGTTGGATCACCCAGTACGCTGACTCTGGCCGGACTGTTGGATCACCCAGTTACACTGACTCGGGCCGGGATCACCCAGTACGCTGACTCTGGCCAGACTGTTGGATCACCCAGTACGCTGACTCTGGCCAGACTGTTGGATCACCCAGTACGCTGACTCTGGCCGGACTGTTGGATCACCCAGTACACTGACTCTGGCCGGGATCACCCAGTACGCTGACTCTGGCCGAAGTGTTGGATCACCCAGTACGCTGACTCTGGCCGGGATCACCCAGTACGCTGACTCTGGCCGGGATCACCCAGTACGTTGACTCTGGCCGGGATCACCCAGTACGCTGACTCTGGCCGAGCTGTTGGATCACCCAGTACACTGACTCTGGCCGGACTGTTGGATCACCCAGTACACTGACTCTGGCCGGACTGTTGGATCACCCAGTACACTGACTCTGGCCGGACTGTTGGATCACCCAGTACACTGACTCTGGCCGGACTGTTGGATCACCCAGTACACTGACTCTGGCCGGACTGTTGGATCACCCAGTACACTGACTCTGGCCGGACTGTTGGATCACCCAGTACGCTGACTCTGGCCGAGCTGTTGGATCACCCAGTACGCTGACTCTGGCCGGGATCACCCAGTACGCTGACTCTGGCCGGACTGTTGGATCACCCAGTACACTGACTCTGGCCGGACTGTTGGATCACCCAGTACACTGACTCTGGCCAGACTATGGAACAGAACTCTCCTCCAGGCTGAGGGACTGACCTTCTCAAAACTATGCCTTCCAAGGCAATGGACTGATTACACTGTCTTCACATCTCTACTGTTTCTGCTGCCTCCTCTATATTCGACTGCAGAAGCCTACTGTGTAGACGGAACGTTTCAGAATAAAGATACCTAACTGCTACACGTGTGTCTTACCAACTTGTCAGTAATCAATACCACTTGTTATATTGACAGTTGATCATGGTTAATAATTTTAAAAGTATCAGAACCTCTCGTTCTGATACTATACAAAAAATTTTTACAACAAGACTCAAGAAATCGTAATGACACGATTGCAAACAAACCATACCCCCGGCCGGGATTGAACCCGCGGTCATAGAGTCTCAAAACTCCAGCCCGTCGCGTTAGCCACTAGACCAGCTAGACTTGAGCTAGAGTTCGTCACGGCCACGCTAGCTGGAGATTCGTCTGTAAAAACTTGCATTTGTGGTCACAGAGGTGCCTGTGCTAACTTTCCTATGGCGTAGAAATATACCTAGTTGGATGAATCTTATTGTGGCTAGCTGGTCTAGTGGCTAACGCGACGGGCTGGAGTTTTGAGACTCTATGACCGCGGGTTCAATCCCAGCCGGGGGTATGGTTTTACAACAAGTTAGCGGAAATAACATCACTGTACTTAACAACTTGCTGCTCCATTAAGCCGAATAGTATTTAATTAAGGGTGAAAAATAAAAATACTATAAAAACCAGAGTTTTCAAACAAAATTTCATTTTCTATTTTGCACTTCTGTTCTATTTAAAACTCTCTACTACTCAAGAAAAAAAATCTGATATATTTTTCTTTGTAACGAAGTTCAATTTGATAAAAATCTATAACTTGGTAAATTGGTAATTGTAAATCACAACTTTAATAAATAATATTCCCATTTAAAATACATTAACCTTTCAATGACTTATTACTTGGAGATAAATTTATTTACTGAAATTGGCAACCTTAAAATTTCCATAGTTCGGTGTGAAAACCAGCATTTCTTCTAATAAAAGTCTATTAAAACTGAAAGTTTGAAGCCTATCAGAAGAATCATTCTCCAGTAATTGTTCTGAGTTCAACGATTTCGTCTTTTTTTTTCACTAAAATTTAAAATTTTCACCTAAACAGCCTATGCTTATAGGCTGTCATCTTTTTTCAGCCTGAATCAGCTGATAACACCAGGTCTTTATTATCCTGTGGAAACCAACAATTATTAGTTATTTAATAATTGTTAAAAATTTGAAGTTGATCTGAAGAGGCATTCTCCAGTTGCATACCACGGGTGGGGATAGAACCCGCGATCAGAGAGTCATGAAACTTCAGACTGATGTGCTAGCCACTGGGACAACTGGTTACAATAAGATTCATCCAGTTAAGGATGTTTCTACACCATTAGAATGGATCGACACCATGCCCAGCCCTTCTAGGGTACGGTAGGTGCCTGAGCCAGAGCTTGCAGCTCACAAGACTGTCATTCCCATTAGTTCCCTTGGGGCGGGGATGGCTGACCAGAGAAGCCTAGCTTGTGGCTAGGCCTGGGGACAGTTGGTCCCAAAGATGAGGAGGTACTTGTGCCTCCTCCCATGGGAGACTTAGGTCTCAGACACTCCCTAAAGAGGGAGCCAAGGCCGGGCCACCACTTGGAAAAGGCCCGGGCCGGGAGAATACCGGCGAATCTTTAATAATAATAATAATAATACCATTGGAATGTTAGCATAGGCACAGTGGTGCCTATGCTAACCTTCCTATGGTGTTAGTAATACTTAATAACAGTATTTAACCTGAAAGTTAAGACACATGTGCAACATCTGGATATCTTTATTGTAGACGTTTCGCCATCCAGTGGCTTCATCAATACAGATTCTAGGACATAATTAGAAGACAGTAGAACTATACACAAAAGATGAGGTAATCAGTCCCTCAGCCTTGGAGTTAGTGTTCACAGCATCGTGGTGGAGGAGAATCTGGAGCAAAGGCAAGAAGACTGGCGGTTATATAGGCGTCAGTGGATAAGGACGTGTAGCAGACGAGGGCATAGTCACTGGTAGGCGGGATTCCCCAGTGGAAGTAGGTCCTTCCCAAAGGGATGAGTCAGTTGTAGCCCTCGTCTGCTACACGTCCTTATCCAGTGACGCCTATATAACCGCCAGTCTTCCTCCACCACGATGCTGTGAACACTAACTCCAAAGCTGAGGGACTGATTACCTCATCTTTTGTATATAGTTCTACTATCTTTTAATTATGTCCTAGAATCTGTATTGATAAAGCCACTGGATGGCGAAACGTCTACAATAAAGATACCCAGATGTTGCACATGTGTCTTAACTTTCATATTGTCGGTATTTTATACCTTTCTTGCACAGTATTTAACCTGCCTCTCTTAATTTATTCAGTCTCACATATATCACTCTAAAATAATATTCACTACGTATAATTGTATTCTACCGTTGATGCAGCCATGACTGACACCAAGTACCGTCAGGTTAGGTAAGATTCTTGAATCAAGAATCAAAACAAATGACTAAGACCTAAGGCCTTAGGTCACTGAAGCTGTCATCATGTTAGGGCTCCGCTGGCTTACAGGTCCACAATGAATCAAGCTTGTAAACATTAAGATTTTTATAATATAATGAAAGGCTATCGTGATTCACGAAATCGTAATTACTCGATTTTAAACAAATCACAGAACGGGTGGGGCTTTAATCCATGGTTAGTGAATTTTAGATTTTATGACTCACTCGCCATGGGTCCATCATCACTGAACGTTAAATATTACATAATTTTATGCTTTGCCTCGTAATTGAATTCAGTATTATAGCATCAATAATACTAAAAAAACATTCAACATCCTGTAGCCACAATCATGGCAGGAATGACAGTCTTACTACGATTTCTTAAGTCATGTTGACGGCAGTGAAGGGACTTGAGCTAGAGTTCGTCACGGCCACGCTAGCTGGAGATTCGTCTGTAAAAACTTGCATTTGTGGTCACAGAGGTGCCTGTGCTAACCTTCCTATGGTGTAGAAATATACCTAGTTGGATGAATCTTATTGTGGCTAGCTGGTCTAGTGGCTAACGCGACGGGCTGGAGTTTTGAGACTCTCTGACCGCGGGTTCAATCCCGGCCGGGGGTATGGTCTTACTATGATGATTGTTAAGTAATGTGGTGCTGTCGAATTTCATACACGGTACAGTGAAAATTGTCATTGGATAAGCAGAGCTGAATTTTAGGTTGATTACCAACGGTGCCGTGGAAGTAGTCAATGGGACAGACCACTTGCGGGGAACCATGATAGTTACTGGGAATAGTAAGGCAGTGCTCTAGTTGGAACTACTTTAACTAAACCGCAGAAATAGCCAATGGATAAAAATTATAGTTCTGGGAGTGACTACTTTCACGGGATCGTTACAGCACTTACTCCCAGTCCCGGGAGTGACAACCTGCATAATACCATAACAGTAAGTGCTCGTAATCACCTGGTAAAACAAGTGCTGGAAGTATGCATGATTGTATCGCCCCGTCACCGCCAGGTACAGAAGCAGCTGCAGTAAGCTACAGAAAAGCTTCATGGCGAATTATTATTCCTTGTTGTAGTGAAGAGGATTGTCACTTGAAATGGTTGAACACCAGACTACACACTGTGTGTGTCCTCAGACCTTTATCATTACATGATTACTGATAACCAAGCAACAGTTGCCTCTCTTATCTGATAATAACAGATATACAAATTTTATGTGATTTTTTTTTTTTGGCATAGAGGTATTTAAGTGGAATATTGTGTACAATGATAAACGTTGTATATTTCTTATAAAGCGCTTAATCCTGATGGGTAATATAGCGTTTAATCCTACACTTACTAGACAGGTTAGGTTAGGTAAGATTTGTCAGCAAACA